AACTACTGACCTCCTAGGAGGCCAAGGATTACGATACCACTAGGCCAAATGCCCTTTGGTCACAGCCAGTGAAATTGTTAGCCAACTTCTATCATTTATTAAACGATGGTGAAACTATTGTCGTCCCTCTTTTCTATCTAATATTCATGCTAAAGTCTTAGGGTTGAATGAATTTTCTCGCACAACTAGTGAAACTGTTAGCCAATTTCTGTCATTTTTCAAATGATGGCTAGCATTGTAACAGGGTTTAGATGTTTCTACAGTGTGATCCTAACCCTATATTCATGTGGATGCTATTGGAGGGTTGGAATATTCAAGCTTAAAGTATCAACATTAATGTTGCAAAATTCTGAAGTCGTTACACACTAGTTTCAAGCTTTATTCGATAAGGTATGATTTGGGTTCAATCAAATATTTTTTGTGTTTCACATGGATCCTTGGTTAAGTTTGGTGGATTTTATTATTTAGATTGCATGTATAACTCTCAAAATCCTAGCATATTTACGTTATGAATTCCAAATTTTTTGAAGGGTGTATTGTTAGCAGGAAGAGAAAGCAGACATGGATTCAAGCCAGTCTGCTTCGGAGAATCTGATTCTACTTTCATGCCACCTTTCACTTCTCTGTGGCATTGCCTTTGATTCTGGCTTTAGATTAGGGTCTTGCTTACAATAGGAGATCAATCTTTCATTCTCTTTCCCTTCTTCTTTTGCCTAGACCGACTGCCCATGCTCACATCTCAGAACTCAGAAAACCACATCCAGACAACTCTTATCTCTTTCTTCCGTATGATAAAAGAAAGGTTTGGAACCCTCTCTTATCTAAGAATACAGGACACACAACAGAAGACATGTAAAAAACAGTCACTCTCTCCCCTATTCTCTCTTAATAACAACCTCTCTCCCTCAATATCGGGCTAGGGAATCAAGCTCAATCACTGCTCAAGGCATAGGAGCCACTTTTTCCAAAATCCAATGTCAGGTTCTCCTTTGTTCTTTAAGGTAGGTGGGATTCATCAATCCAATATAGGAAATGGAGGGATTGGATCTCAACCAAAAATATCATACTTTGTCGCGGCTGGTTGATAACAACCCCGCTGCTAAGGAATATTCGGAGGTAGGAATTAAACTCAAATCTTTTTCATATCATTATCTTTGAAACTAGGTATGGCTTATCAGTCTGATTTCCTAGTACGAACGTTAACAACAAGCGTGATAAATGCTACTTGAAGTAAAAGTTGTCCAAACAGATACGCTTTAAGAAGATATATTACTATAATTGTTAGGGTTAGTCGAAGAAACATATAGTAACTTTTGTATTGAAAGTATTTTACTTTAAGTATTATGAATTATGTAAAACTAGTGTTGTGCACCGCGCATTGTGCAGTGGAGATAAACTTTTTTTGAATTTTTTTTTAAGCAAGTTAATTGGTCTGATCCTCTACGTATCATATATTTAAAAAAACAGTTCTGTATTAGATATTAAACTAATAACAAACCAGTATTTCACTTTACATAAAAACCAACTCATCATTTTTTTTTGTTCTTTTAGCTGATTCACATTTATACATTTCAAAGACGTTCTCATCTTTTTCTTTATATAATCAAATACGTTTTCTGATTTATTATCCCACCATTGATGTTGGACACCAAAACAATACCACAATTTAAGATTTTAAAATACACAAATTAAATATATATTTTTTTAGAAATCATTGACCAAGTTAAGACAAAACATATTTCCTTAACGGTTAATTTGCATACATTGATAATTTTTTGTTACGATAAGTTTAAGATTCCTCATTAATAGTTTTATTTTTAGGTTATTTTGAAACAAATAACATTTTCAACGATACTACCTTATACATCTACAATAAAAAAAAAATATGTTTTTTCTTAATTTTTTATATTGATAAATTTTGTTGCTAAAGAAGGGTCGCTAAATTTTTTGCTATGCAAAACAGGTGGTCGTCCTGGGATTAGTCGGCTCGCATAACGGGTTAGATATCCAAATTAATAAAAAAATTGCTATATAAAAAGTAAAGAAAAAATATCTATTGAAAATATATGTTAAAATAATAAACTATAAGAAATAAATACAATTCAAGATTCTTTCATTTAAATTTAGTTTGAATAAAATAAAAATGAAATATTCAACTATTACATGTAAATAAAAAATAACTATTTAACCTAAAATTGGATCAAAATTTGAATGTACTTTTAAGTTATATCTTATTATTTATATAGTCATTTGTATTTCCAACTTTTCACTTTTATCATTAACGTGAAACAATCAACAATTCACCACAATTCACCAGTTAAACAATATGAATTGAAAGTAGATAGCTAATTTTTTATGTTCTACATATATTTAAAAATGTTACCTTATTTCATCAAGAATTCATATGTCATTTTATCCACAAAAAAAAAAAGGATTCATATATTTGCATAATTCCAATTTTAGTGTGAATGTCTCCGATTAAAAGACGAAATACTATATTTACATCAGCAAAAACCCATATCATATTTGTCTTCTTGAATGAGGCATCAAAACAACAAAAATGTAAATCGCCTCCACCAAATTATAACTGAATAGAGAGGAAGAAGTGAGAAATTAATAAAGAGATTATCATAGAGATATACCATGAAAAGAAGATGAAAAGTTATAACCGAATATAGAGAAATAATAAAAGTTAAAAGAGCAATTATTAGAGATGACATGATTGAATATCAAAAATCAAAAATAAATATTGAGGTGGAAGAACCTTGAGAAAATGAGAGAAAAGATAAAAACACTGTCTAGCTTTGAGAAGATGTCACGTCATTGCACATAGTGAACAACAAATGAAATCCTAAACTCATGATAATCAAGAGAAATTAAGTGAAATCACCTAAATTGTAACATTTACTGTAATATCCAACAAATTAAACAATGAGACAAGCAATAAAATAATTAAAATCAACTATTTGGTTAAACAGATGAAACCGAGGGAGTGAAGAGTATACCAAAGAGAGGCTCCTGGTATTAGAGTAAAGACCAAACCGTGATATCAATAAATTGAAGGATTCTGCAGAATCCCATCCGCTTTAACTTTTTTGGTTGGAATTAGAATATATATCCATAAAATCCTTCTTTAATTAAGACACGATGTTAGAGTGGGGAGAGAAAGACATCAAAATACAGTGAAACAGTTACTAGAGTTTAAATGGAGATTGATTAATAATGAGAAGTCGTTTTTGCAATGAGGGCCCTGTGTATCAGATTTGTGAATAATGCAACATGTTCTTCTATTTACACTGCTGGAGCATATAAACCTTATTCGGTAAACCATAAATGGTTTTAAGTATAGTAGAACAAGTCGTACTATAAGAAAACGATTATTAGCATATTTATTTTTCATTTATGTACGTATTGTTTTGTATTTAAAATGTTATTGCAGATATAATATACACTTATATAATGTTGAGGTACACGTTTACTAGACTTGGACCATTTGTTCTCAATATGATAATATATGTTGGAACCTTCATTTTCTTTTCAATGACTCTTTTAAAAAGCAATCTAACTAGGTTCCACATATTCTGACATAAAGGGGGAGCTCTAGAAACACTATCAAGTACGTATCAAGTACGTAGTGGTATCAGGGTAAATGTCTATCACTTTAGGAACTCGTTACTCTGAGACAAATTATGCTCGTCTAACCCCCCTTTCAATACGCTGGCACGATATGTGTCCGTCCAGGCTCCGTTAGACGATGTGTGTTGAGCCTCGAATCAGCTAGACTTGAACCACTCCTTCTCAATACATGTTGGAATTTTCTCTCTCCCCAACGTCTCTTCTAAAAATTGATTTAAAAGGGTTTCACATATTCTCACACTATACATAACAATAACTGAGATTAGGGCTGTAAACGAACCGAACGAACACGAACGAAGGCTTGTTCATGTTCGTTCGTTTAACTTAACCTAACAAACGAACGAACACGAACGGTAAACGAACGAAAATATTTGTGTTCGTGTTCGTTCGTTTAGAAATCAGGTGTGTTCGTGTTCGTTTATGTTCGTTCGTTAACATGCTAAACAAACGTAAACGAACGAGCTAAACGAACATAAGATGGAATGGTCTACATCAAATTTTAATCTATAATTACTCACATAATTCAATCTACAAGGTTATAAATCAGAAGCTACATTTACCTAATAAAACCAAATTTTTAGTCCATATTTACAGTGTTTTGTTATGAAGTTTCAAGTGTAAAAATATAGCCTCACATGAACTAAAAATCCTACTTACATGCCTACATGATCTAAAATAAATATTTGGGTTCTAGCAGACTAGTTAAGTTTTAAAATAATGTAGTAGAAATTCTTATATGCTCTAGGTTCGAATTCATGCATTGCCAAAGTCTTTGTGCCCATGACGCTAGGCATGGAATGGGCCAATGGGGTGGGACCCCATCTTTGTCCCCTATCTCAATCTTCGTTCCCATCCCCATTCCCATCGGAGAATCGGGGATTTTTTTTCCCGTTAATATAAGATGTTTTAAATCAAATGTGTTAAACACTACGTTTAATTGATAATGGTCAAAGTTTAAAACTCATATATTTACAAAATTTTCTTTTATAGAGTATCAAATATTTATATTTGAAAAAAATCGCATCACATACGTAATTGTTTGATCAAACGCTTTCAACTTTCAACGTTTTTTAAATCTAAAAAAATAAGACAACTAAGAGAAAATGACATAAAATAAATGTCAAAACACTTTTTCTAAAACTAAAAAATATTAAATCTAATTCTTTACGAATAATATATTTAATAGTATATATATATATATATATATATAATATATTTAATATTCGGGGATGGCACGGTACGGGAACCACGTTACTCGTCCTCATCACTGATTTTTAACTTTCAGGAATCCATGTCCCCATCCCTAATGCCCGATTTTGCGGGGTATCCCCGTCCCAGTCAGGACGAATACACTGGGTTCCCTAATGGGTCGAGTCTCATTCTCATGTTTATATGACGATTCACCTACGACGTTTATTTTCACTTATAAAATGTTTTAGATTCAATACAGAAATATTTATATTTATGCTTTAAATAAATTCAAGGTAATTCTTAATGTTTTATATAATTTTGTTGTATTTACATATATTTGACTTATTAATAAAAAAACAAAGAACTACATAAATTGCCATATAGTTATGTTGAGTTGGGTTGGGTTGGGTTGGGTTGTACTTTGGTTGGGTTGGATTGGGTTAAGATTTTTCAACCCGTAAGCATTAGGTTAAGTTGTTCAAATGTCTTCAACTCGATCAACCCAACGCATGAGCACCCCTACCTCCAACAGATTCTCCATTTTGGAGAATCCAACATTGATTATAATATTAAAATATTTTCTCATTTTCTCCATTTTGGAGAATCTATTGAAAATATTTTTAGAGCATCTCCAATGAAGGTTCAAAGAACCCCACTTTTTGCACTTTTTGTGTCATCTCACTTCCAACTCATCAAATTAAGAACTTACATAAAAGACTACAATGGTAATTCTTACAAGAACCTACCTTTTATGGGTCTCATGTGTTTTTTAAATATTTTAATAATTTTTATAAGTCAATAAAATATATTAAAAAAAAACTAGAAAATCATCACTTCACACAAATTTCATGGTAAGAAACAAAGTTCTTGTATTAGAACTCAAATAGAGTGAGATTCTTATAAAAACTCTCCAAAATGATAGTTCCCACAAACAACTTCACTTTTCTCTTATAGTTTCAATGTAGGTTCTTATAAGAACCTTCTTTTTTGGCACTTTTTATTACCAACTCATCTCTAACTCATCAACTAAAAACTCTCTTAAATGTCCACAACTGTAGTTCTTATAAGAACCTCCTTTCTATTGGTCCCGTTGATTCCAACATCAATAATTATTATATTAATACTTATAAAATCAAAAAAATAAAAAAAATATCACTTCTCACAAAATTCATAGTAAGAACCAAAGTTCTTGTTCAAACTTCATAGTAAGAACCAATGTTCTTATCCGATAAGTGATGGTGACGACTCTTACCCGGGTAAGCGTTTACCGGATAAATTGTTACATACAATACCGTTTTAGTATACTACAATTTTACTTGGTAAAATAGATTATAGTGTTGACTCCTATCGGTAAGCGTTTACCAAGTAAGCATTTGGGTAACCGGCCCCTAAGTCTTTTCAAAAACACTTCGAGTTTCTCTATTGTTAACTTCAAGACCCGATAATATTAATAAATTTACATGTAAACTAACTCAAACACCTATGATTATAAAAAAATACTCATAAAAAGGTAATAGACTTAGGGGTCGTTTACCTAAACCTAAACACTTACCCGGTAAGTGTTTATCGGGCAAATTCAACACTATTGTTTACTTACCGGGTAAAATTTGAGTCTATAAAACGACATTGTATGTAACAATTTACCCGGTAAGCGCTAACCTTGGTAAGAGTCATCACCATCACTTAACAAGTAAGATTGTCGGTCCTTGTTTTCGCTCTTACCGGGTAAGATTATTGGTGCTTGACATAATTATCCAGTAAAATAATATAATTTGATAAACACTTACCCAAATAAGCATTTGATAAATGGCTCCTTAGCTTGTATATTTTTGCCCCCACAATAAAAATATAAAGATGACTAGGTCTAGGTGTAATATTCTAAGTGGGCCATAGTCCTTACCTTTTGTGGGCTCCATCAAACTTGTCTTGTAGTTTATTGGGCCCTCCATCACAACAAGAAACTAGGGAAACACAAAGGATCTTTGATTAACGAGATATATATATATATATATATATATATATATATATATATATATATATATATATATATATATATATATATAATGCTTGAATTTTCACAATTAGTCCTTCAACTTTATGTCAATATCCATTTTCCATCTCTTAAAATTAAGGATATAAATGGTTCAATTTGTATTGAAATAACAAAACAACTCGTTGTTGTTCGGTTTCAAATTATTTGAAGAGAATCAAAAAGTCAGTATAATCAAACGCCAATTTTGATTTCATTCAACTAAGAACTTCCTCATATTTTGTATAAGTTTGGGGTTTTCATGAAAACAGTCACTTTACTTTTTGGAAGAGATGTTATGGGTTTGGTTTGCTATGACATAAACTCTATATTGCAAAGAGATATTGGCCAAAATAACCATTTCTTTCTCATAAACTGGTGTCCTAATTATTCATTTATCTGATTCACTTAAATATCACTACCTCCACAAGTGACATATCCCCACTTGCAGACCTAGAAAAATGACAATAAGAAATCAGATTCAACCCAAGTCCGCAATTATGACGGTATCACGTACGGTACCGCTATTTTGGCTGATTTCGATTTGCAAATTATGAAGGGACCATTTTTGTAACTCGACCCTAACATGCATGCTCTTTCCATTCCTTCCCCCACCCACCCAAACCCCTTTTTTCAGAAAACAACTTCGCACCCTGGTCATGACTTATTTCCGGTTTGCAATTCTCTCTCTCTCTCTCTCTCTCTCTCTCTCTCTCTCTGTGTATATACACATAAGAAAGCAGAGTAGCAACAGCCATGGTAGACAGAAATTCAAACAAGATCGCACGCAGTCTCATCTATGCCGTTCTTGAATGGACACTTATACTTCTCCTCCTTCTTAACTCCCTCTTCTCTTTCCTCATCATCAAGTTTTCCCAATATTTTGCCCTAAAACCACCCTGTTTATGGTGTTCTACCCTCCACCGTTACTTGGAGCCCCAAAAGATCAATTCCCACCGGGATCTTCTCTGCGAATTCCATTCCAAGGAGGTTTCATGTCTGGGTTTCTGCCCAAATCATAATAAATTAGCCGAAATCAAGGATTTCTGTCAAGATTGTTTTTCCTCCCATCTGGGTTTTCAATCGGAGGTGAAACAGAGCGATGGAGATGAACAGAAGTTCGAGTGTTCTTGTTGCGGTTTGAAGATTCGGAAGAAAAGCGTTTCACGAACTCGGAGTTGTTGGGATGTTTTGGAGTATACTGAAAATGGGGATTTGGTTGTGGGGATTGAGAGAAAGATTGGGTCAAATGATCAAATCGGATCGGATTTGATCAACGGAAATCTTGAAATTCAGAGCAGAAAAGAGAATCGGATAAAATTTGAAGGGAAAGATGTGTCGGATTCAAATTCTTTTGAAATTGAAACACATTTGAATCAATTTGAAAAAAAGGATGATTCGACTTCAGGTTTGCTCTCAGGAGATCTTGAATTCTTCTTTGATTATAGTGGTAGTCAATTGGTTCCCATCGAATTAGTTGACTCGTCAACGGAAGAAAGTCAAAACGTTTCTGAAGCGGATGAAGAACATCAGAAGACAGAGCTTGAGTCCATGGAATTGGAAGAAACTGAGAATTCTCTTGTTTTTAACGCAAAAATCATTGAACTCATTCATGAAAAATCCGCCATTGTTGAAGAAACTCGAGCTCTGTTCGTCAATTCCCAAGAACATGAAAAAGATGCTGCAGAAACCGATAAATTCGATCCAGATGCTCATTCGGGTAACGTTTATCTTGCAAGATTTTGATTTTGATTTAAATTTATCGGGGAATTATTTTGTTTGATCATGTTTTCATTTGCAGTTCATGAAGAAGCAGAGGTTTCAATTGGAACATGGATTCCTGTTCTTGATTCATGTGTTGATGAACTATCAACTAAATCCCATGAATTACATCTAAAGATTGAAAATGGTGAAGATATCAAATTGAATGGAAATCACAGTGAGATTGAGGAAGAGAAAATTCCCGATACGCCCGGTTCAGTTTTGAGCCTCGGCCAACTGCATACGAAGTTATTAACCATCGAACGGAAGGAATCAGGGGCAGAAGAGTCATTTGACGGTAGTGTGATGAGCGAGATCGACGGTGGTGATCCGACCACCACCGTGGAGAAGCTAAAATCGGCTTTGAAAGCGGAACGAAAAGCTTTACATGCTTTGTATGCTGAGCTGGAGGCGGAACGCGGTGCTTCGGCAGTGGCTGCCAGCGAGACAATGGCGATGATCAACCGCCTTCAAGAAGAGAAGGCCGCCATGCAAATGGACGCGTTGCATTACCAACGAATGATGGAAGAACAATCGGAATACGATCAAGAAGCTTTGCAGCTGTTGAATGATCTTATGATCAAACGGGAAAAAGAATTGGAGTCGTATCGGAAAAAAGTGGCGGATTATGAAGTAAAAGAGCGAATGCGGTTTTCGAATTCAACATCTTGTAGCCATTCTGAGGATGGGGACAAGATGATGATTGAAACAAACAATGAATCAAACGGGAATCGAGAAAGTAGGCATCATAGCATCCCAGTCCCGAATGATTCCGGATCTAGTTTTCTCGGTCTGGAATCATCATTGACGGACTTCGAAAAAGAACGATTGTCAATTTTGGAACAACTTAAGGTTCTAGAAGTGAAGCTTTTCGCTTTGAGTGATGAGGAAGATCCACATTTTGCGGATGTAAGACCGATTGAAGATTTCTACGACAAAAATGGGGAACTTTCCGGAAACGGATTTAACACCATCGATTTGGCCGAAAACACACTTGCTCCGCTTTTTGATATTGGTATCAAGGTTGATGATAAGGTGACGGAATCAAACGGGTTTCATCCCGACGAATTGGAAAACGATAAGAAAAGGTTCGAGATCGAAGAGGAAGTCGATCAAGTTTACGAGAGGTTACAAGCTCTCGAAGCCGATCGAGAGTTCCTGAAACACTGCGTTGGATCATTGAAGAAAGGTGATAAAGGGATGGAATTACTTCAAGAAATCTTGCAGCATTTGCGCGACCTTCGGACTATGGATATTCATCAATGAATGAAAGCTGCTATCGACGTATTATTGTTTTAAAAAACAAAAAACCAATAAAAAGTATTAGGGGTATTTTCGTGATTTCATATCATTCATCTTTTAAGGAAAAGAGGGATGGGATGGGTTTGTGTTTTTGTAGGGTTTGTAAAGCTGAGGAAGGATCCAATGAAGGACATTTTTTCGTTTTAGGTCTAAGAATTCAATTATTAAATATTTTTTAATTATTTTTCTTTTGAAAAATATATTTTAAAAAAGGCATGAAAAGATGGAAGGGACCCTTTATGCCTGCTTGCTTATTCAATGTATTTCTGTCTATTTTGCAAGTATTACGCGCTGTTTATTTATTTCTTGATGGTTTTATTAACAGATAATATTTGAATTGTTAAGAAGTGAATCTTGTTTAGAAAAAAAAAATATTTTTTTAGTAGTTTAAAAACCCTTTTTGGACCTCCCTCAACCATTCAGCACCTTAATTCCATTGTAAACAATTACCGAACAAATATATTTCATTTTGTACTATATCATGAGAGGCTTTTAATCATTCTGACCACTTAATCATTTTGTACCAAACCATTCAACAACTGTCAAATAACCATTTAGTTGTGTATTCATATAATATGTTTGGATATAAAATGTTATTATAAAACAAAAATTAAGAATTAATATAATTGTTTTTATTCAAAAAGAAAAACTGACACGAGTTTTTTACATAAAATTACAGAAATAATGACATGTAACCAATATGTCATCAAAGTCAAAGAACTTAAATCAAATAAAAATACTGAACAAGACCAAACGACAAAATATATATTTACTACATGTTCCATTAGTAACATTCCTTTGTGGTGTCATTGTGTATTTTAATTGTGAGAATCCATATCAAAGAAAGGTATAACTCTTGGAATAGTCGTATCCATTGCTATTTGATCTATTGTGGTTAGTAAGATCAGTGAATTAGGTGAAGGTACAGAAAGAGAGGGATTCGAACCCAAGTTCCATAGCTTTTGGTCCGCTATCCCGATCATGATTTTCCTACCCCTAGAGGGAAAGGCCCTTCCCTTTTGGGCCGGTTGTGGGCGAGGAGGGATTCGAACCCCCGACACCATGGTTCGTAGCCACGTGCTCTAATCCTCTGAGCTACAGGCCCCACTCATATATATATATATATATATATATATATATATATCATACGATTTTTCAATTTATACATGTCTTAGATTCAACATGTGTATGTATAACAAAACAATACGATTATGGATCTACTTTGGTTTCTTTTTGTCAAGTAAATCAATTATCACTAAACTCATTCAAAACGTGTAAATGATCATCAGTTGGAGTCAAGGGGTTCGTCACACATCGCCATTCGAGTAACACGAATTTTCATGGTAACATACTGTGGAGGAGACGACTTGTTGTGGCAGCTTATCAAGCACTCTACCATGTGGCCTTTATTAGGATCAAAAACGAAAGCGATATGTGTATGATATTGTCGTTTACAATTATTGATTAGGCTATCAAATAAAAAGAATATGTCAATCTTTCAATCAGAAAGACTTGGACTCTGTGTGTTTACATCACTTTTCTCCATTACTCATATTCTCTTATATGGATCCAATCTAACGTTGAAAAAACAATTTGTTGGTCCTAACTTACACATGATGTGTTTGTAGAAGAGGGAGAGGAGTTGAATACAAACACAGCAAATTTTAACTTTTAATTATAATTTGTTATATTAAAACAAAGAATTACAAATTTGTTGCAGAAAACACCCTAAAAAAAGGATAGTCTAAACCGAAAATATCTAACGAGAACCATAATCTTAGATAAAAAAAAATTTCACCCAACAAAAGTAATAGTATAGCGTTTACAATTTCGCTACTGAGAAGATAAATAATAACCTACTATTCTAGATTTTTCTAGATTAAAGATGGATATTTCTATCAATCTCCAAAATGCCGTAACATCAAAAACGCAACGTTCAAAAGTAACAAGGCTATAATTACAAAAGAGTCTTTTCACGAACCAACGCTCCTCTCAACCTTTTAGAGCCCCACCGATAAAGGAACCTAAAAAGTAATTATAACAAGAAAGAGAGAGGGTTAGGCTTACGCCTAGTGAGTCCAAACAAAAGAGTTTACGTAAACATAAAGGAACATATATAAAAATATACATGCAAATAGTTGACGTAACTTTAAACAGGAATAGAGATAGTAAGACCTGAATAACTCGAAGTGGAACAATAAAACATCCGAAGATGACGGGGGAGACCCGATTTACCGTTGATTATGACAGACACAAAGTAAGTCATAATTCAACGTTATAGAGCATCACTCACAGGTTTAATACCATCGACATCAACCTAAGATCTTAAGCTCTTTACCTCGGTAATTACACAATAATCACAATGCCTATTACCGAGTGAAAGTGGGAGGATGATTTGGTGATTACATAATAATCRCAATGCCTATCACCAACTTACACCATCATTCCCACGAATAAAATAAAACGATATACACGCACAGGTAATTACACAATAATCACAATGCCTATTACCGAGTGAAAGTGATTACATAATAATCACAATGCATATCACCAACTTACACCATCATTCCCACGAATAAAATAAAACGGTATACATGCACTATATAAATATAAATAATGACGTAGTATCGTACGATATTTATATATATAGAAAATGAGTCATAAATAATACGTGGGAGTGTCAAGACATCCGAAGATGACGGGGGAGACCCGATTTACCATTAATTATGACGGAACACAAAATAAGTCATAGATTAACGTTATAGGGCATCACTTACAGGTATAATATCATTGACATCAACCTAAGCCAGTCATGTAGTCGAACGTGATCTTAAGCTCTTTATCTCGAAAATTACATAATAATCACAATGTCTATTTCCGAGTGGGAGTGAGAAGATAATTTGGAATTTACATAATGATCACAATGTCTAATTCCAACTCACATCACCCTTCACACCAAATACAATGAAACAAACCTCATGCTTTAAAGCCCACTATATTATAGTAATATACTTAAATATAGAGCCATAAACATCTTAGTACTCACTTATCAAGAAGATTTCGTGTGTCCAAACTTAGTGAAATATCCCCACTCGCCAATATGGAACACCAAACTAAGAGCATGAGGGCTTTAGAGTTAAATGGGTATTTTACCAACTGATTAAAATCTGTTCATCCAAACTCATCTAGTGATTGTAAATAAGATCCCTAAGTTCACTTTTGACCCGAAGTCTCTACTTAAATCTAACAAGTAATCATCTAAAATATTAGTGTAAGACAAGCATGGTACATCATTCCATTAAATATAAAGCCTCTAAAAGGTTAGTATGAACTCACCTTGGAGGATTTAGGAGAAATTCCAAAGTCCCGAAATTAAAGGCAGGGGTTCGGGAAACAGCCTCTCGCGCAGACCACTTCGAAAACAGCAGCTGCGCAGATGAAGACTCGGCTGGAGCTTGGAAACAGCCACGGGCAGGACACGATTGCAGCACCTGCGCACAGCTCACACCAGCAGTCGCTGCGCAGGCCGAGGCCGAAGTTAAGGGGTCGACGTCGGAAGTTGAAGGAGAATTCTAAGAAGAGGCTCTAGTTAACTGGATGAGAAAATACCCTCCCTCTTCCTTYACCCACGACAGGTAGCCTTCCTTCCAACCTTTTCTCTCCCTAAGACTTTCAAGTTTCAAAAACCTCCTCAAGCAAAAGGTTTTTCTGTTTCTCCTTTTTCCCAAGCCAGCACAAAAACTAAGACATAAAGCAAAGGTAAGTCTTTCAAAGGAGGGAAAGTCCATAAGATTGGGTCAAGGTACAATAGGTAAAAGAGCCCCTAGTCCTAGCATTACTACTAGGCAATAATAACAAAAAGATCTCCATTTTTTTAAAAGGATCAAATAAATTAAAAAGGGGTACTAAATCCCTAATAATTAATGTACACATATATGAGTATATAAAAATATGAATAACGATGTATACCTTGCAAACGGAACGGAAGAAATCCCGACGGAAAAGAAATGGAGACGGATGGAGAAGAAGAAATTCCAAGGTGTTACAATTCCCCCCACCTTGGGTTAAATTTCGTCCTCGAAATTTGAGTTCATGCGAATAGCTGGGGGTAACGTCTCTTCAAATCCTCTTCTGCTTCCCAAGTCACTTGACCCTCGATGATGCTTCCATTCTACTTTAACCATGACCACTTTCTTGTGTCTTAAAACCTTGGTCTTACTTTCCAAGATGGCTTCTGGTTCTTCCACACATCGGTTGTTCTCATCCACACGAATTTCTGAAAGTGGTATCACGCTATCTTCTTCCGTCAAACACTTACCAAGGTAACACACGTGAAATGTGTTGTGGATTCCGGACATTTCGGACGGTAGTTCTAATTTATAAGCTTGGAGTCCCACTCGAGCCAAAACTTTAAATGGTCCGAGAAAACGGGGGCTGAGCTTCCCACGCTTTCCAAAACGGATAATGCCTTTCCAAGGGGATACCTTAAGCATAACACGATCCCCCACTTGGAATTCTATAGGTCGGCTCCTCCTATCTGCATAACTCTTTTGCCTATCTTGAGCCGCCTTTAGGCGTTCCCGAATACACTTCACCTTGTTGGCCGTTTCTTGCACAATTTCAGGGCCGGCGAATTGTTTCTCACCCGCTTCAAGCCAACACACAGGAGTCCTACATTTTCGTCCATCAACGCTTCGAAAGGTGCCATCCCTATACTAGAGTGGTACTATTGTTGTAGGCGAATTTTACAAAAGGTAGGTGAGAGTCCCAATACAAGAAATGTTACGTAATCTAAAACAAATTCTCCAAAAGCACTCTAAAAATAATGGCTAAATTAAAACTTTAGACCGTTTACAACGGAAGACTTTAAAAGAATAAATATATAACTTAATGTCAGCCCTTCCCATACCGGGTTGCTTTACAAATTTATATACCATAGATGATTGCACCTAAATATTGAACTTAAATRGACTAGACAAGTCTCTATGTATGCCCTTCTTTTTCTTTGTCCAACCTGAAACCTTCTGTCCCTGATTGCGTATAGATTGACTACCGATAACTCTTGACCAAATGTCTACACATTTTATACCATAACATCTCATTAACGTCTTAATTTCTCAAAAAGTCAACAAAAATCAACTAAAGTCAAACTTCGTATCCGAGCATCTTAATATGCCTCAAACAACTCTATTTGACCCATCATTAAAATCCACATGGATCAAACGTGCCAAAACTCAACCCTTGGTCAACTCGATCAACCCCGACTAACTTTAGTCAAGCCCCACATCTAAAACCTCGATGGCATCCCAAAAACATTTTAATATCTTATAATTTTATCTCATTAAATTAAAACATCACAATAATTACTTTACTCAAATTACGGCACTCAAATCGTTAAAAAAAAAAGTTTACCGATTCATATAAGCATCATTCTTAGAAAATAAATAATTAACTAATATTAATATTAAAAAAATAAGTAAATTAATTAATATATTAATTAAATACTAATTCAATTTAATATATTAACTAATTTAGAAATTAAATTAATTAGTTAATATAAACTAATTAACTAAATCTGAAATTTATTAACTATAAATTAACAAAAATCTTATACTTTAAGTACCCAATTAACCCTAAAAATTTAAGGGCCTAAAATATAGTCTCATCTTTGGCTCAACATCAATGAAATAAAATAGAAAGCCCAACAGAAATCGTGGCCCAACAAAATCGTGGCCCAACAGTCAGCCTGCTGCAATTATCAAGCCGACAGCCAGAAAAACAGGCCTCGTTTCTTCATCGTTTTCGATTATTCTTTTTTGCAAAATCTCTAGAAAAAATGATTTTCCTCAACCATAGAAACAAAAATCGACGAAAAAAAACCATCAAGTATTGAGGCTCACACGCTCGATTAAAGTTAAGGTTTTAAATCCATTCGAAAATCAGTAAAAACTCGAAATCGAACATTCAAAACTAAAATCTGAGACATAAGGCTACTAAGGTTTTATAGAGGACCTAAAAACGAAACCATCCATATAAAGAACTCGAATTTTGGTTGAGTATTTTACCTCTAATCGTCAATAAACGAAGCTTTTTCGAACCCGAACTTCTATGAGTTCTTACACTAACTCTTTTGTCCAAAATACTTTGGACCTTATTTACTTTACTTACCATAAAACGATCATGCCCTCCCAAAGAGATGTATTCAACATCCATTTATCATTGATCTGAACTCTTCCATTGGCATGACTTTACATATACCATGCATTTCTATTATATTCATGTTGTTATTTAACTTATACTAGTAACATATGAGACCATTGCACTTTCATGCATCTAATGCAGAAGTTATGCAGACATAACTTTCATGGTTGGATATGAAATTATTAAATGTGTCATTCCATAACTGAACATTGTTGGAAGTATTTATCAACCATGATGGACGATAGGTAAACACTACTCATGATACTTTATCGAACATGATACACAATGCTAATGTCCTTACTGATACTCTGATGCATACTTGATGGATACACTAATAGTTGCTAAAGACATTAATGTTTAAATAACATTCATACTAAATATTGTTGAGGTATTGTATCATAACTTATAGTCGCTGCGCAGACCGAGGCCGGAGTTAAGGGGTCGACGTCGGAAGTTGAAGGAGAATTCTAAGAAGAGGCTCTAGTTAACTGGATGAGAAAATACCCTCCCTCTTCCTTCACCCACGACAGGTAGCCTTCCTTCCAACCTTTTCTCTCCCTAAGACTTTCAAGTTTCAAAAACCTCCTCAAGCAAAAGGTTTTTCTGTTTCTCCTTTTTCCCAAGCCAGCACAAAAACTAAGACATAAAGCAAAGGTAAGTCTTTCAAAGGAGGGAAAGTCCATARGATTGGGTCAAGGTACAATAGGTAAAAGAGCCCCTAGTCCTAGCATTACTACTAGGCAATAATAACAAAAAGATCTCCATTTTTTTTAAAAGGATCAAATAAATTAAAAAGGGGGTACTAAATCCCTAATAATTAATGTACACATATATGAGTATATAAAAATATGAATAACGATGTATACCTTGCAAACGGAATGGAATAAATCCTGACAGAAAAGAAATGGAGACGGATGGAGAAGAAAAAATTCCAAGGTGTTACAGTTAGGAAGGTAGGACTTGATCCTAAACAATCTAAGTGGTGAAAAATTTGCTAAAAGTTGAAAGAGTGAGAGAAGGAGGTAGTCTTTCATATATGAAGTACTTAGATGGTTCTTTAAATAGTGATGCCAATTTTGCCTAAGAAACTATCACTCAGAAGATTTTTCAAAATGAGTGAGTTACACAACATAGGACAAGGATCATCTTTTGCGGCCACCATTGAATTAAATGTTGCTTGTCACATGTCTATATCTGATTTGCTGATCTATGCATGCTTATACTCTTGATTTTGGTCTTTGAATGTAGACACTTGTTAACCCAACCAAATCTTTTATATGTAGAGGGAATAGTAAAAAAAAATATGGCACTATTAAAATAGTATTTTAGAACTTACTTTGGCTAACATGTTAAGCAGTTATCATACCAAGATAAGTGTTGGTAGAGTTGGTGAGCCAAACTTGTTGGATAAGTTTGCACTCCAAAATTCGGCTTGTCCGTAGTAGTATTTGTCAAACCACTACTTGACTTTATCTTGTATTAATCTTCTTTCGGATAAATGACAAACCAATTCACTTTGCTGACGATCTTGATCTCACTTCAACTAGTATTCGATTTTGTTGAAGGTTTTTTGTTCCTGGACCAATACAGATAGTTACAAGATTTTTACAAAATAAAATCCTATCTTTCTATTCTGAAATATAAGTTATAGACTGGATTTGTGTCAAATACAGTAAATGTTGAACATTGGATATATGACCATTTTAAGACAAGTGTTAAGAATTTTCTTCTAAGTGTTGAATCGGATGGTGGTTGTGTTATTTTACAAATCCGATGGTTGAGACCAATACAATTACATTTCATTTCTTCTCACATAGAAAGGGACTCCGAACCATAAAATAATGTTTGAGTTTTTGTAAAAATGATCAATACTTAACAGTAGGTTGTATTTAAGAGTTCTTATTGAATGTTTTATAAGATATTAAAGATTACAGTATTGGTGTTTTATAGATGTAATACTTTTTACCGTCTAATATTGATTTACGATGAACGTCTTATTATCTATTTTGTATTTGTTGATAGAAAAAGAAGGTAAATAAACAGATGAATGAACGAAAGGAATGAAATATTAGGATACACTTGTCTTTACAAACACTAACAAAACGCACTACGACAAAATCGGATTTATAGGGCACTCCCAGTTTCTAAGCGTCCTAATAGACCTCTTTATAGGACTTAGTTTATAGGACCAAAAAAATAAAATGTCCTATCTAAAGGCGTTGTAATCCGTTTATATGACGTTTTTTGACGTCGTAATAAGTTTTTTAGGACACTTTTAATATGCAGCGTCTCATTAGCAACTTTATAATACACTATTTGAAAAATTGTCCTATAAAAATAAATGTTTTATAAAACATTGATTTTATAGGACACTTTCTCAAAAGTGTCCTATAAAGTTGCTAATGCGACATTTTGTATTAAAAATGTCCTAAAAACTTATTAAGACATCCAAAAGCGTCATATAAACTTATTACAACACCTTTAGATAGGACGTTTTATATTTTGGTCCTATAAATTAAGTATTATAAAACGGTCTATTGGGACGCTTAGAGATTGAGGGTGTCCTATAAACCCAATTTTGTTGTACTGACGGTATTATGCAAGGAAATAACGGTCAAAACACATCCTTCTTGATAGAAGAATATCAATAGATATTTATTGTACTTCATAATAAGAAAAAGTCGAACATATGTTTTCTTTCTCGTTATTGTTACAATCATTTTGTATAATGTCGTATAGTTCATCATGTTGTTATAATCTATTCCCGTCTTTAAACATTTTATCATGGGCATTAGTGGAATATTACACACAAAAGTAGCATCAAGGATTAACGTACCCCAAATATCATATGTGAAACAACTCAATTCCCATCTAAAGTCAATTTTCCAGAAGACTTTGTGAGGCATTCATGATGTTATTCAAGATCATTGTTGATCGAATCATCAAATACATTTCGCGTTGATCGGTCATCTTTAGACCATGTTGGACATCATTTATGTGAGTATTTAGTGATCAGACTTAAATCCCAACAAAACTTGTTGGGAATGGCTCGTAAGCGATAATATATGGTTTAGGGCATATATGAAACGAAGGGATTGAACTGAGTCGAGGTTCATCAAGTTATAGGGAGTTCATTTAATAATTTGTTATTCATAGATCTTGTAACACCCCAAAATCACATTTGCATATAAACATATATTTTCATATATCAGGAAATATAATTTATACATCTGGTCTTAGTATCTACAAAGGTACATTATAAAGTAGCTACCAAATTTTTTCACAAAATCTCTATACAAAACTTGTATACATAACAAGTATTCAAATACTGAAGATAACACATCATTCTATAATTTCATTCAAGCAAATATAAACTCTTCACAGTTTCCATTTCCCCTTATCATCTGGTTGTGCCCGACCTGTTATGCACATTTTAAAAACACCAAAATAAGGGTTAGACCTTGAGCTCTAGTGAGAAATCTCTTTGTTTGCTATTACAGGGTGAATAATCACCAGAACACATTTATAAACTCATGTTTGTATCAATAACAAGTAAACAATATTTTATTAAAACAAACATCTTTTGTCGCATCAAAAAGATAAGACATTACCCAATTATCGCATCAAATAGCCAAACAACTCATTTTATCATATTATGATAAAACTCATTACATCATTAGGTGCAAACATAAATTCCTCACATCACATGGGTGAAACAATCTCATTTTCTCACAACACACTTGTGCGAGGACTCCATCTCATCGCATCATATAGGTGCGATAAACCCAACTTGTCGCATCACAAGGATGCGACAAACATACTCCTCGCATCACAATGATGCGATAAAAAACAATTCATCGCATCAATAAGATGCGATAACTCAAGTCATTGCATCACACATATGCGACAACTCAAAGTCATCGCATCATAAGAATGCGACAACTCAAAGTCATCGCATCATAAGAATGCGACAACAATTAACAACTTGATCAAAAACCTAGTTTTTACATTATGTTGATTATGTCACATTTATCTTGGTATATACCTCTCCTTGATATGCCACCCTTATCTCAAAATAGGCATCTTTTGATTATACTACTCTTATCCCAAAATACAAATCTCTTGATTATGTCACCATTCTTCCAAAATACACCTCTCCGGATTATGTCACCCTTATTCTGATCATTTTATATAAACATATCAAAATACCAAAATTATGTTAATCATAGCATCAAAACAGTTTTCATAATTTTCCCCGTGTAAGTGTAAAGAACCATATGGTTCTAATCCTACTAAATAAAATGAAAGTTTGTAAAATAAACTCATCTTATAATCCATACTGATGAAGATTGAAACAACAACAAGCCAATTAATGTCTTTCACCAGATACTTTATCTTTTAAGTAAACTGCATTTCCAAAAAAAAAAGTGGATGTCATTTAGAACTTTAAAATCGATGCGGGTTTGATTTTGTTCTTGAAATCATTTATGTTTCGATATATTATATTAGATTTGGGTTTGTTTTTATCATAGACATAAAAAAAGAAGGGCGAGTAAGGGTTGAAGAAGAAATAGAGGAAAATGACAAAAGAGCGATACGAAAGCACATACGTTGTGCTCATGACATGTGATAGAAATCCATTGATGTCGTTGTCCTTAAGGAACAATACAAAACCATTCAAATAATTTTAGACCAATTTTTTAACCAAACACTTTCCAATATCCTTGCTGAAATTATATATATATATAACATTTGACATTTGTACAACCAATACAACTCAATCTCAACCGTCCATTTAATTTGATGAATATGTGATTTCATAGAAGTTTTGGTTGTTTCCTAATATAAAATATTGATCATAATTAATGAATCATATTCATCTTCCATAAATATTTAAATCATAATAAATGAACTCTCATCATTTCTATAAATATCTCAATTAATTGGGTTGCATTGGTTGTACAAATGAACATGGTTGCATTTGAAATATATCCTATATATATAACCCCGGTTTACGGAACAAAGGAGTATTCCGGACCTACACCGCCTACTAAACCGATCACAAGAATACCAGTTACAATACCTATTATCCATTAATCAGAATGCTTGATTATTAGACCATAGTATTTGATTCCAATACTTATGTTGATTATATTTACTTTGTTCGTTATAGCACAGTCGAGACAACGACGGGTTCTCAATAGGTTGATTGTTTCGCTTTTGCTCATCGGGTCCAGCCGTCCAGGTAGAAACCAAAGATCTTGAGTGAAACAATGTGTTGCCCCTAGATGTCCAATCGATTGCTGGGGATTAATATTAAGGTAGAGATATTACTGAGATCCTTTTGGTGACGTATGTTGTATTGAAGGGATAGAAAATCATCCACAAAGATTGGATATATATA